TTGGTGATCTTGAAGAGAATGAAACAAATGGGGAGAATCAAGGCACCAGGAAATGAAGGTAAGAAGACTGTGAACTAAAGAACGTCTTTTAACATGACTGAGAAAGCTCCTGGATACTTGGCTAAATTAATAAAAGTTAAAATATTTACACATAGTATAAGAGCAAGTGAGAGTTTTTATAAGTATTTAGAAATGAAAAAAAAAAAGCCCATTTTACTAAGAAAAGTGAGAATGGGCTCAGATTTCTCCCTCACAACTGTGCACATAAGCGTGTCAAGAGAWCACCCGCAGCAGCCTTTGGAACGCAGACTGGCCGCCACCTGTCTTCCTCCAGCTACTCGGCACCCAGATTGTCTCTCGTGTTGGTGTTCTCTCCCTTTCATGTCAGGAATCCTTCTTACTTCTAAACGGGGAACTGCTTTATCACCACAGCAGTGAGAGTCACTCACAGCACAGCGACAGGAAGGATTCAGAGTGCGGCTTCCATGAGAACAAGGGAGGCACAGAGAGGGGGCTGATSGTGGGCTCTGCAGTCTCCCCACCCTGCCACCCAGGACCTGGCCACTTGCCCCAGGTCTCTCCTCAGGAGAGCTCCCCAGGCCACACAGCGCCACACACCCAGCCCAGCACCACCCTGGCGGCCTGCCCCTGTCTGTCCCCACAGGCACGCGCTCTTCATGTGTGATCTCTGACTCGATCCCCACCCAAGGCAAATGCCACAAGGACACGAATTCCTTCTGTCTAGTTTCTTGATGTTTTCCAAGAGCCTAGAAAAGCAGGGGCGGAATCAGTATTTATTGACATATGATTAGAAAAATATATGAGACTGGTCAAAATATGCTGGTTTCAAGAAAGCATTCAACATAATCTCACATTATTAACCATCAGCACTGGCCTAAGATAAATTTTTTTTTAAAGGACATAGAAAAACAACTAGCAAAAACTACTAAAAAGCCTTGGCTTAAAATACCACAGAAATGTGTGATCTGTAAGACAACATAAGTGAAACTGAGACTCTCAGCAGGGTGTACAGTCCTGCCATCAGGATTCCAACACAAAGCACACTGAGGCGGGCGCCTTCTGGTCCCACCTGCCTCSCTGGTTCTCCTCCTCTGTCTGCTGGCTCCTGCACATCTCCCACCACCCACTGCAGTGACCAGAGCTTAGTGCTCAGATCTCCACTCTTTCCTYCGCAGACAAGCCCTCTAGACAAGGTCGTTTAGTCTCACATCTATGTGCTCCACGTGTGAGTACATGACCCCACTAGGGAACTTTCCTGCACATGATCACATACACACTCATTTTCTAAATATTTTAACTCCACACCTGATAAGCCAAAGTCTATATGTTCAAAGTCAACTTGCAGATCTCTCCACCTCCTTCAACTCCACTCCTCCATCACCTTTCTCATTGGCAGTGGAAGGAATCAGTCCACCAAAAGTCTGGGAGTCTGCTTCCTCTCCTCACACCCCAAACACCACCCTGGAGCCAAGTCCATCAGCTGCTCCTTCCTCACATGCCAACCTCTGCTCACGTGCCACCTTCACACCCTCGTCTTGGACACCCTCCTCCACACCTGCACTCCTGGTCTCCTGCCAGGGCTATTTCGGCCCTGCCTCCTGTGTGCTCCCAACTCAGCAGTTTAGAATTCTCTTCACCTGTAAGTCGGGTCACTGCTCTTCTCTATACAATCTCCCTGATGACTTCCAACTGTTCCCAAAATTAAATCCAAAGGCTACAGAGTGAACTGTAAAACCTGAAAGACTCTTTCCACTCTAACTTCTTCTTCCACTCACTTTCCTATACTTACTCTGCATCAGTCCCAGACCACCTCAGGGCCTTTGCAAGTGCTGCCTCCTGCTGGYTGGTGTTCTTATTCCCTTCAGATGCCTGCTCAAATGTCAAACCATTAACATTTCCTGACCATTGCCTATCCACCATAACTGGCTATCTCCCAATTCTTCTTCATTCTTCTATGTACTTATCATATTATTTAATGGCTGATACATGTATTTCAAAAACTGTTTTTCAACTATCTCCACCAGCTCYTTCTAGAGTATAAGAACCAGAAAACTATTTTGCTCACCATGTATTCCCAGCACCCTAGAACAATGAATGACAGGTAAGCAGGCAGGTGGGGAGACAAAAGGAGAGGAGAAAAACAGGAGAAGAGTATGGAAGACACAGGTCTGACTTGGTTTCACAAAAGGAAAAAAAAAAGCAGTTTACTGAAAGGTCAATTACAGAAATGCCCTATGGTTCTTAGAAAAGCTAATCTCCCTTACAACTGAGCCCACAGTGTACCCTCCAGACCTCCCTTAGAACTGAGCCCACAGTGCACCCTCCAGACCTCCCTTAGAACTGTACCCACAGTGCACCCTCCAGACCTCCCTTACAACTGTACCCTCAGTGTACCCCTTCCAAACCAAGACAGGTATCTTTCCCCCCTCACCTTGTTGGGCTCAAACCACAACTGGTCTGTAGTATTATGTTATAGCTGCTATATTTTAAAAATATATTAACAATATATGGTTTGTCTAAAGAATCCAGCCCAGATCCTAAAGAAGTATACAGGAAGAAAAGAAATCTAAAAGGATTTACTGGAGTAGAAAGAATACTTTGCCTGTATTCAAAGAGCTCATACACACAGKAGGTTGCACGCAAGCCTTTGTAAGACTCCATGAAAGCACAACCAACTCCAGGGGACGGCAAGTAAGGGGAGGCTGTTGGCTCCCAGGGAGAAGGAATTGCACAGGAACTGGAGCTGCCCAGGAGGGGAGTGGCGGGCCTTGGGCCTGGGACCTCGTTCTAGAGGGGTTTTTTGATAGTGAATGCATTTAAACAGAAGCCCCATGGCCAGTCAACACGTCAAAAGGTGGCCCTCAGTATTTCTAATTCCCAGTCTAAATCTGTGGCACACTATTCTAAAAGGAAACCCGGAATATTAGTGAAATAAGCATTGATTAAGAAGTGGGGCCTATTCACGAGGAAATAAAAAAACTTTAGAGATCTGATGCTTTTCTAGGATATCAGTTCAAACACTGAGCATTTCTCAGAGATGGGCTTTCTTTAAATTTGGCACAAGAGAATTTCAGAAAATAAGAGCAAAGAACATCACTATGTATAATTCCGCCCCATTGCTTCCGATGGCCTGAAGACACCATGTGGCACTGTGACGCCCAGTGGGAACAGAATCCCTCCACAACACTGGGAAGCAAGTCCAGCAGAGCACATCCAAGATATACGCTCCCGTTTGTGTCACCACCCCACAACACAACAGGGGCACCACAGCAAAGCCAGTCGTAGTCCTGTGGCTAGAAACCTGGGCTGCTGGAGGCCAAGGGACATGGTTTCACTAAACAGCTGAACAGAGAAAATTCACTGACACAAGAAAGGTGTTCGAGGTGCAATTCTAATCTCTGTTATCAACACAGCAGCACAGAAGGAAAACACTCAGATGGGAAGCGCCTACTTTGGACATTCCTTCTCCAACTTCCCTCAAAAATAACAACAAAGTCTAAAATCTCAAGGTTGTAAAGAGTTAACTGCGTTTAGTCTGTTTTTTAAAAGATTATTGATGAATAAACTGTGGTTTTCTTCCTACTAACCCTTGGTTTATAGAAAGCTTGGTACAGCTTCAAAAATGTGATATAGCAACTTTGCCAGTTTCAAGAACCCAGGATTTTATAATCCTGGTCAATTTCACCTGTCCCAATCCCCCTTTATCCTCAGACATCAGTTTGGAATGTTATTTTGTTGCTCCTAGCAAATGCCAAGATCCTGGGCTGCCCTTTTCACCTCTCTGCACATCTTGGGGCACACAGACTCGCCAACTTTCCCACACAGAGCTCTAGAGAAGTGAAATTAGAAGGTGCCAGCACTGAGAGAGTGCTGGGATTCAGGGAAGCCCATCAGTCTGTCAGGCTGCTATGGACAGAGGAAGTCCTGTTGGCCGCCAGCCCCCCAGCCCCTCATCATTTTAGAATTTTTTTCCTTCATACAATCAAAAATAAAGAAGTARGGGCTGAGGCTGTGGCTCAGTGGTAGAGCACTTGCCTGGCATGTGTGAGGCACTCGGTTTGATTCTCAGCACCACATAGAAATACATAAAATAAAGATTTATCAACAACTAAAAAATATATAATTAAAAAAATAAAGAAAATAAAGAAATAAATCTCCATATGTGATTCTGTTGTAATTAAATTTATATCTTACAGAAAACAGTTATTTCTTAYATTAGGTTTCATCTGATAAAATTGAAACTGATTATTTTCAATATTTAATCCAAATTTAGAAGACTTTTTTCTTATGAAATAACTAATAACTTTGCATTCTTAAATCCGGATGCTGAATGCTTTCAACCCTCATACCCTCTGAGTTTTCAAGTTTGCTAAATCTCAAAAGTCGACATTAAGTATTTCTCTGGGACATGAAAATGGTGCTTTTAGTATTTCTGGAAGTGTCACACAATGTCACACAGAAGAGGCATCACCTTTTGTTCTCCCAAAAATGAGGTGCACCAACAGGAAGCAGGGGTCGGACAAGAACACACCTGAGCAGAGCCGCCACACAGAGGACTGAGAGAACCTGGACAGCACAGGAGGCATCTGAAAGTGGCCTCTGCTACTGGCCTTAGCAGACTGCTGCCACCTGGGAATGCTGTGTTGGTGCTACCTGATCTTCTGGCTTTACAAGAGAAGGTAGAAATCCAACTCTTTTTATAGTATTTCCACTTCTAAATATTGGCCACTGATTCAGAAAACCCCATAAGCACATGCCAGCCATGCTAAATGCATCTGTCAGAGGTCCTCAACCTTGCAGCCTCCAAGTTGCAACCTTACTCAGCTGATGATTTCCTGTGAATGAGAGATGTTTTGAGAGGGCACTCAGCTTTTGCCACAATTTTTCTGACACCTTAACATGTTAGAATACTGAGAAAATGTACAGAGGCATTTCTTATTTCCTGTAACAGTAGTAGAAATGATATTTACATTACTTACCCTGCTGACTTCCTTAGGAGCTGATTCATCTGAGGGATGAAGGAGAAAACACAATTAGAAACTCTGAGCAGTTTCTGAAATTCAGAGTATGTCATTTACTCTCAACAAATTCAAGGCTCTTTTGCAATGCTTCCTCTTAGAAAATCTTACAACTTTATTTTTTAAAAACTATAAAGGTTAAACATAACAAATCAAAGCAAACACTAATTGCAGAGGAAAAACAAAATACCATCACCACAACAGGGCATTTCCAGATTACCTTTTCAAGATTTCAAAGTACCTGCAAACATGGCCACACTGAGGCATATTAAACAATACATTATCTAGATGGGGTTCAACACTTGCACTGTTTTACATGATACAACCCCAGTGAATACGACACTTGCGCTGTGAGGACTCAACCCAGCAGACTTGGAATTGTCTCAGCTCTCCTGCTGAAATAAGGCCTGTAACTGCAGGCATCCTGGCCCGGCAAGAACCAAACTTGCTAACGGTGCTCTCGGCACCATGGGCCCCAGCAGCTGAGCTGCGCACACCAGCTCCACAGCACTGTTGACTGCCAAGTGAGACTGATGGCTTGTACCTGGTCCAAATGAGACCGCTATCCCCTTCAAGGGCTCTTCTCTTGGAGCTGCTACAGGAGAAAGGATGCTTGTATGATCAACAGGGTGTGAGAAACATGCTGGCAGAGATTCCGGTTCCATCTACGGGTTCTGAGTGTCTTGTGACCCAGAGAGCATTTGTGTGACACTAACAGAGAGGGAATGCTACTGGAGTTCAACCTGGCCTGCCCCGACTCTTTGCTCCTTGCCAGACGGCAGCCTTAACATGATGGCGTGCTGCACTGTGTCATTATCCTGCAATAGACTACAGGTTCCTGGGCACTGTGTCTTCCTTAGCAGTCAACCCCAGTCTAGCTGCTAGCGTAACTGCACTGACACACCCTGTGTCACCACAAAGCATGCGTGGGTAAAACATGCCCCACATCTCTGGTTCAGGAATTCAGACAAGGTTATTATTCTCTTTCCTTCTTCAATGTCCATGTTAACTGGCCACTGATTCCTGATGTTTGTTTGCTCTTTAATCCTTCGATTTTTCTCAAGTTCACTATTTACTACCCATTCCTACCGATGACAATCTAGTTGCAAATTATATCATCTAACAACTAGTAGATTCCAAGCTGGTCCCTGAGCCCAGTATCTGCCCTAGTAATCATGTCTATGCTAGAAAGCACATGCACAGATACACACACACAGACACGCAGACACACACACACACACACACACACACACACACACACACACACACACACACTGTTGGTGAAAGCCCTGAACTGCAGTCACTGGCTATGCCGACTAGAGGAAGGTGCCTTAAAGTGGAACACTGTCCTAACAATATGAACCTTTGCCTTTGTTGTCCTGTAAAGAGCATATTCAGAGTGAAAAGCAGCAGCACTGCCTCCTCCTGCCAGTCCACACAGCCTGCATGGGGACCCCGGGGCTAAAGCCAGGACTTCCAAGCTGCCTTCCTCCCCTGCAGATTCCACCTGCACCTTGAAAGGACAGCTAGAAGCAGAAACAGCACTTCACACAGTCCAGCAAGGAAGCCGGCTTTGGAATGAAAGGGTACCGAACCATGGAAAAGAAGGAAATTCCACTGACATAAGATTTGGAACCACTCACTGGCAACCAAAAGGCTCACGACAGAGGACACTGATTCCCAGGCTGCCCAGAGACTCCACAAACACTGTTTCATTCAGCAAGTGAGTACCAAGGAAACGTATGCACCAGGCACTTATCTCTGCTCCCAACAGCTTGCATTCCAGGGAGATGAATAAGCAAGGAAATGATGTTTTAGGAAAACCTTATCTATGCTTGTTAAAGACAAATTCATTTTTTAAAAACATATAAAGAATCCATAATCAAAACATCATTTTAATAATTTCTAAAAGCCTTAGCAAGAATAGTTCATGGAAAAAAAATCATTCCCCAAAGGGATTTCACAGTAAGTACCAAAAACTTTTTATAGTAAATACTTACTGGTATACCTTTCATGGTAACTACTCAATGTTAAGTATTTTATAATTTCTTGTAATTGTGTGTATATTCATTACTTTTTGTGATCACGTTTGCTGATTTTTCCTTTGATACAAAATGGGATTTTACTAAAAATCTACCTTAATTACAAAGCTTAAAGAAATTCAGATTACACTAATACTATTGTGCTCACATAGCCACCAATTTGGTCAAAGGTCTATGGCCACTTGTCATATTTTTCACTGTGTGCTTGGCTTTGAGGCAAACTTCATTAGGGCTGGGGATCAGAATCCACTAACTAATAGACTTCAGAATCAGTAAGGAATTACTGAATTTTCTTACTATATGATCTATAAAAATCGCAATCAAAAGTAAATACCGCTTAAGAAAAATAAACTATGAAAGAAAAAAAATCAGAGTAAGTTAAATAAGTTTAACAAATTATTATAGAAGATACAAATAAGATCTACTTAAAATCAAGCATTAAAGAGCTGAAAAAGATTCTTATTCTTACAATATACAAATATTTTTCTTATTATTTTCTAGCATATTCCTTATAAAAGGCTCTGAAAAGACTTAAAATAAAAATATAGATACATAATCCAAAAATGCAGCGGCTAAAAATGATGACAAATGTTTATATTTATTTACATGAAAAGCTGTCCATAATTCAGTCGATTTAGAAAGGAGGGCGATATGGTACTATTGTAGAAGCTTACCTTGGCTTGCTGTATACATTTTTATAAAGTTTTATTTGTATACACACAAATGGATTGCAATTAAAAATTATTTTTTCTACAGTATTTCATGTCTTTTCACAAGTCTGAAGTGAAAAAAATGCAACCATAGACTTCATACATAAACATAAATATGCAACTTTACTAGTATCTTTTTCCTCTACACATTCCCAAATTTTTATAATCACAATAAACTGCAATGTGAATAGAGAGTCTTTTCCCTGATAGATGGATTCCAAAATACAACCTTGTGCGTGAGGACAAAAAATCAGCATTCAGTGCACATGACCAGGTGGAGGTGCCAAAGATGCAGAGCCCTTCCAAGAAAYTCCACAGAATTCTTACATCTGCCTGTGGCATCTCTCTGTGTTRGCCCCAAGATGTTCCCGTGCTGCTGGGATTGTGTGAGCCTGCCAACACCCATTCCTGCTCTGGTGCTACTTGCTGCAGTACCCACCCCAGGCAGGGGTGGCCTGCAGCGAGTCAGTGAGAGAACAACCACTGGTGGCACTCCTTAGTTATCCAGYCAGGATCTGGAGCAGATACCCTGCACTCTAACAGGTTCAAGGATGTTCTGGAATTCCCTGAACAGAGAAAACGCCCATCACTGTCACATTTATAATGAGGAAAAATAAAAGCCATCTTATTAAGGCTAAGCAGAAAAAAATAAGCAGACAATTAGCCTAGAAAAAAGAAAGTCAATAGTGATAAGGGAACCAAAAAAATTATGTTTGAAAACATATAACATAAGAGTTAAAGATAATATACTTTATGGAAATCAAAGGCAGAAAATTATGGCTGAGGTGTTTTGATTGCTTAATATAAAAAAATGAGTGCACTGTAGGAGGCATTCTTTTCCTTGGCTGTGAACTCTGTGAGAACTTGACCTAGAGGTTCTCACAGGATGGACACTGCATTTGTCCTTTACTCTACCCATACAACACTATTTCAAAACATAATCTTAAAAAAAAAAAAAAAAAGCTAATCAGGAAAAGCTGCAATCTAATATTAAAAACTTTGCACCTCAAGTTCTATGAAAATCATGTTAATATTAGATGTAAAACAAAGAATTTAAGAAAAGGTTTGCCAGGCATGGTGGCACATGCCTGAAATCCCAGTGACTAAGGAGGCTGAGGATTAGAAGGATCCTGAGTTCAAACCCAGCCTCAACAACTTAGAGAGAACCTGTGCAACTCAGTGAGACCCTGTCTGAAACAAAATATAATAAAAGGGCCGGGGATGTGGCTCAGAGTTAAGCACTCCTGGGTTCAATCCCTGGTACAAAAAAAAAAAAAAAAGATTATTAAACTTCTTTAATAATCATTTAGAAAAAAGAGGGAAATGACCATTTCATGCCTATGTGATAAATTAAGATTGAAAACTACATTTTTCCATTCCAAATTGTGATATTCATATGACCTAACTGAAGGTTACGAAGTCTCCCATASATAGGTTGATTCTCTGCTCTGCTCTCAGAAAATAGCAAGGAGTAACATGTGGGAAGTACTATGTATCCAAGGTAGCTCCCTGACTGTGGTCACTGGAAAGATTCATTCACTGCACTGCTGTCCTTCAAGACTATTCAACTCACTTTGCCTCCCACACTTCATAGACAGTATCTAACATTCCTAATTACCCCCTAGGGCATCTACAACACACAAGACACACACTTCCACAAGCCTGGCCTCAGTAGGGTTCCATACTGGTTTTGCTCCCTCTTAACTCAAAACCTTCCTACCTTCAAACAGTATTTACCAACCATACAGGTGCCACACATGATTCTTAGTGCTTTCAGTCAGTATCTCAGAGATCAAAAAGACAAAAATAAAACAAAACCTTGTCTTTGCAGCTTCATTCTAAAGGTAGGGGACAATAAGCCTGATAAGGCTCAGAATTAACATAGCAAGTTGAAAGTGCTTTCAGGTGCAGAGGACAGGKCCAGGGGCTGCCCAGGTGGTGGGGAAGGCAGAGGCAGGGTGTACAAGTGGCAGTCTTCCAAGGCTGGTACACTGAGGAAACACTGAAGTCCCTGCTGCTGAACTGGACTGCAGCTCTGAATGTAAGTCTTCCGAGACCAGCGAGGCCTCTGGTCCATTCTCTCAGACAACRGACAACTAACCTTTGTCAACATTTATACATTCCTTCCCTGTTAGGAAAGTAGGATACTTTAGAAAATAAATGATTTAGAGCTGGAGTCGGGGCAAATCTCTTCTCAAACATCAGCTTTACTTACCCACCAAAACTGGCTTTCTTGAC